TGAGTCCTTCCCATGACTGGCAGTTCTTCACGAACTGCTTTAGTACGGGCCTAGGGGTCCCTCACAGGGTCACAAGTCCTGCCAGCAAACCTGCTCCAGCCTGGGCTCCTCTCTCCATGGGGCCACAGGTCCTGACAGGAACCTGCTCCAGCTCGGGCTTCCCACGGGGTCACAGCCTCCTTCGGGCATCCACCTGCTCCGGCGTGAGGTCCTCCACGGGCTACAGGTGGAGATCTGCTCCACCATGGACCTCCATGGACTGCAGGGGGACAGCCTGCCCCACCATGGTCTTCACCACAGGCTGCAGGGGAATCTCTGCTCTGGTGCCTGAAGCACCTCCTCCTCCTCTTTCTTCCCTGACCTTGGTGTCTACTGCAGAGTTGTTTCACATCTTCTCACTCCTCTCTCCAGCTGCAAAATGTGCTGCTTTTTTTCTCTTCCCCCCCTTTTTTTTTTCTCAATTATGTTCTCACAGAGGCGTTACCGATGGGCTCGGCCTTGGCCAGTGATGGGTCCCTCTTGGAGCTGGCTGACATTGGCTGTGTCAGACATGGGGGAAGCTTCTGGCAGCTATAGAAAAAAACACTTTCAAACTTTCTGTAGATCAGTGTTGGTTCAATAGTAAGAGTATGAATTGACTACAAAGAATGTAACTGAAAGTAATTGCAAGCTGTAATATGGCGTTATAATAGCAGAAGAAGAGCTTTCTGCGTCCTTTTACATCAGTGTTGTAATTAAATGGTACCCTTGAAGCACAGGAAAATAGAGGAAGGGATACGAGTATTTCTTCTTTGTAATTCTATGGTCATAGCTGAGCTCTGGAGAAAGGTGAGGGGGTATTGTAGTAACAGTTAGAACCAAGATGTGCTTATGTGAGGCAGTAAGTTGGGAGCGTATCAGGCATATAGTGTGTTAAGTGCAGCGCTCACTACTGCTCCAGCAGTATATAAGATTCGGGACTTGCTGTGTTCTCCATTTAATGTCACCATTTACAGCAGTTCGTGAATTTGAGTGCTTGCTTAACCTCTAGGTATGAGGTTGCCTGACTGTAAACAAGAATTATGTATACTGCTACATATTTGTGAGAACAGAAGACGACTAAAAAGTCCTTTTCATGTTCATATACTTTGCAGTATGTGCATGCACATCCACATGTGTGCGTTTTTATCACTGTTGTATGAGATACTTCATGGCATCTTTCAAATGCCCTTCCTTTCTTTTCCTACTCAGAATACTGTTGCTTTTAGTTGTGAAGTATTTTAGCAAATTCTGTGGAGTAGTTAATCTGATTTCTTTTCCTCTTCATTTGGAATGCAGATTGTACACAAACTGAAAACTGTTCTGTTGGGATGAAAGGCTACTTACAACTGAATAATAATACCCATTTTGTTTCTTTATCAGGGAATTTTATAGCAAATCTCAAAGTTGCACTGGGACATGAAGTAACAAGAATAAATTACCTTGGTGACTGGGGCATGCAATTTGGTATGTTTTGGTATTTGTTTCTCCTTTTCTACGTATAATATGGTCTAGGTTTCCAGCTTCAGTTTTTGCAGGCTGATTGGATTCACTCTGCACTCATAAAGAGGAGTGCTGTGTTTCCATGCATGTCATGTATAGTTAATCTCCTTAAAATATGAACAAAACAATCCAGACTGATTCATCAGCAGTATGACCCGTGCTACTGTACAAGAAATAAAAGGAGGAAATTTACCCAACAGTGCCTCTGTCCTTCAGTAGCTCCCCTCTCAGTGGCATTTTCTTTATGTATTTTTTTGTTCCCTCTGAAAACTAGTTCTTTATTCATGGAGTGCAATTAACTTCCACAGCAACTGCATTTTGGCAGACGGAGGCCTGTAGAGCTTGTATCTTTAAAGACATTCCAACACTTACCCCAAAATATTAATTTTCCCTTTAAAATGTAGCAAAAGAGAGGTGTGTAGGTGGAGAATGTGCAAGTGAATAGATTCTAAAAGACTTCTCAGTCTTGCATGCGCACACATACACACTCCTACCTCTTCTGAAATGTCTGTCAGATACGTGAGGACTGAGATATCCTCTCACGTGGAGCCCAGCATGGGCTGATGTTTATTCCCCAGCCAGAGATAATTCATGTCCAATTGCTGGGTCTGTAAATATCCCTCTTACATGGCAGTTGACTCATCTATAAGATTCACAACTTTGTTGATTTCCATTGTTAATGTTGTGTTTTACATTGATCCCTGTTCTCCTCTCCTTTTCTAATTTCCCTCCAAAAGCTGATTTTGACATATTAGGCGTTTAAAAAAAAATACAATCATGCCCACTTCTTCATCTTTGAAAGCTAGTACACCTGTGAAAACTCTAAAGCTCCCCCACATCCTTTGCAGTAGGTTCTGAAAATGATGCCCATATATTTATTTTTGAATGGCAGGCACAAGGTGCAGTGTCCATTAAGCACTAGTCACTTCTGCTCATTCCAGCCTTTATGCTGCCCCCTCCAGTTCCACCGGTGCCACTGGCTATGGGGATATGAATGAATCAACTTTGTGAACAGAGCTGGGTTTAAAACATAGCATAAATACCCTACTTCTACTCCGTTTATGTATTCAGATTCAGCAGTGTAGATAACATAACTAAAATGCATTCAGTTCTACCCATTCTCCATCTAGAGTAAATTCCTGGGTTTTAGACAGTTGAGTAAAACATTTTTATGACTGTGAGAGCAGTAATAGAAATTTTTTTCTTTGTTAAATCATCTCCTCCACAGCTAATCTTTCCTGATCCTGTTTCTGATCAAACAGTAGTTCCTAGCAGAGTTTATCACTTCAGTTAGGATTTGTGTCATAGCAATTGAATACAGAATGAGTTCACTTAAAATTCAGTAAATTTCATCATTGCATATTTCATTCATTTCTGCCCCTTAGACATGATTTTATCACTGTCACTGTATAATGAATGTGGCAATGACAATTAAGCAATGAAATGCAATGTGGTTAAAGGGCTTCTCGACTGATCTCGTTCACTCTGTCTTTGAAGATATTAAATTGTACTCCTAAGTCTGAATATCAAGAATTTTATGTGTTTTAATACAAAGGTTCCTGAAGGTATAAAGATCACAATGCCTGTTACTTGCTTTTCCAGTGCACAGCTGTTAGAACCATGCTCTTGACCTAGTAGTTACAACTGTGTCTCTCAAAATGGGTCTTCCCCTCTTTATTTGGCTTGGCTCAGCTCAAATATATGATGAGTTTCGTAATGAATAATAAAGTCATGTTTCACAAAATTGAAGCATAGGAATATTATTATAATGGTCCTTTCCCAGAAGCAGTTTTATAATTAAGGATCTGTCAGCATTTCTATTACAACTGCTATTGTCAGAGGCTTTAAAATGTAGCAACTGAAAACATAATTTGCTGAAACATGGCAGAGAACTCCTCAACCTTTAGGCAGTTTGGGGGCAGGTTTCTTAAGGTAACAAAGCGTATGCAGTCACACTGTCTGTCCGTCTGTCTTCCTGTCACTCCACTTCTAATAAATTCTGAAACTGTTGGCCAACTTCAACCAGATCTGATGCAGAAAAATGTATCCAAGAGAAATTTGGTATTGTGACAGTTGGCAGCTGAGTAGGGGTAGAAATACTATGTAGTGCCTTCTGGGAGAGAAAGTTAACTTCTGTGTTTAGCCTGCCAGCTAACCATTCAGCACATCTAACTCAGAATCAGTCCCAACACATGCTGCATCTTGCCAGTAATTGGAGAGTATAACAAGGGCTGGGGATAGTTTGGAGAAGACAGAAACGTGTGTAAGGGTGTGTTTGGGTTGAATAAAAGCTGACAGCCTTGCTGGGGTTGGAGTGTGAAGCCAGCATTGAAAAGTGGGATGTGTAGGTATGCTGATAGCTAAAAGAGATCATTAAAAAATCAAAAAATAAAAAAAAATTGCCTACAGAACAATCTGTCTTCAAAGAAGCCCCCTTTCAATAGGACTAGACTCATTTTATTTCCTAAACCCTAGCTTATTTTTCTTACCTAAGTCTGCCATGGCTTCTACTGCACTGTTTCCAAAAGAGAAGTTCTTGAGACAGTGCTATTTGTTTAGTTCCAGGGGGCTTTTCAAAGGGATACCTGCATACCTATTCCTCACATCCTCACTGTCTTCACATCAGTCGTGATCCTTGTCATCGGAGAGGAATGAGATGGCCTTAAAAGCAGCTAAGAGGCTGCAGGGTTAATATTGCTAGCTTACTGAAGGAGTTAATGGGCTCTTTTGATTTAGATAAGAAGATTGGGATTTTGATTTCTTACCCTTTCAGATGGCTTTCAGAAAGTGCTGAAGCCAAATTGGATACGTGAAAAAAAGCTGCATATTCTCAGCATGCAGCAAAAAGTTCCCTTGAAAATACTGCATGAGTGGTATGTAGAGTACCACATTGTGTTTCAGTTTCTATTGTCCTTGAAATGATAATACTGTTAAGAGAGGAAGCAAAACAAGGAGTTTGCTGCTGGACAGTTTCCACTGCATGGCTTCTCATTTACAGCTGGTTGCTGTGTAAAAGATAATTTTCTCTACAAGTCCAGAAACACAAAATCCATTTATGAGGAACTGAAAAATCAACATAGTATTTTTTAACTAATTTCTAGCTATTATAGTTTTGGGGTTTTTTTGTCATGCAGTGTAATAATAGGTTATGCTTTTGATTTGTTTTTGTGGCATACACCATTATATTGTTTAAAAATGTAAGACATTTGTTTTATTACACACGGCACTAAGATTAAACTTGCTTATGAAAACAACAAAACAATATACTCTGGGCTATTTTCTAACTCTATTTAATTGTTATTCAAGGGTTATTGGGTGTTGGTTTCCAACGCTTTGGCAACAAAGAAAAGCTAAAATCCAGTCCTTTACAACACCTTTTTGAGGTAAGTTCAGAGAAGACCAGCTAGGGACTTCAGAGGACAGTCCATTTACCTTAGCCATGAGTTTTGTACAGAATGGAATGTCTGCAGGGTCATGATGACACTGATGTTGTATTTAAACGACCTTGCTTGAAGGACCATTGCTAGCCTGGGCCATGGCAGCAGAGACAGCTTTCGTTAAGCTGAAAAATATGCCCTGTAAGGGAGGTAATCATATGGATATTTAAGTTGTATTGATTGCTGCTACCACCACAGCCAGCCTGATCAATATCCACTCGCTTAACTGGGCATAGGTGACCACTGACCTCACTGCCTTGACTGCAGTGGAAATGGGAGTCTTGCATCTCATGCTGTAGTATGTTGGATACCAAAGTCGTGAAAAGGAGTTACATGTATGGTGTAAAAATCTCCTTGTTGCTAGTATTTTTAAAATAAATAAAATTTAATTTCCATTGCTCAGTACACAATTCACTGTGGTTGGGGAAAAGGATCTTTAAAGTGTTTTGTATCTAATATGGAGCCTTAGCATATATAGCTAAGAAGTTCCAGAATACTGTTCTGGCTCTGCAGAATGCTCTTCTTTCTTCCATGAGTGTGAAAGAGCCAGGAACATTGGAAGGTGCAGTTTCTGCTGGCAGGCATTCAGGAAATGCCTTTCAGCAGTAGGGAAGGCTATTTTGTTGCAGAAGGTTGCCCACCATCATGGTGCAGGTGCTATAGATTGCATTTACTGTGTGTCAGGGACAAAACTAACTTGGTAGACTGTCCATGTTAGCAATAAAGATTGAAGTAGTTTAACAAGTGTTGTTTTTCCAGGACTAATATGGTTTTGATTGTTGATTTACTCCTTCAAATATGCCTGCTATCACCTGAGTTAGTACTGATTTCGTCCTGTGTCACTTCTTGTTTCATACAGTGCAATAAGCAAAAAAAGTCCTTGTCGGTCTTTTGATACTTGTAAGTGGTCTTTGGTTGACAACTGTGCTGGGTGTTACACGTGTACAATACGTGAGGGAATGTGACTTAGGTACTTACCTGCACAAACCCAACAACCTTAAGGACAGGTGGACAGTGTTTTCTGAATGGGTAACGTTCAAGCCCTGATCCTTTAAAAGAAGGATCTAAAGTGTTAATGGGGCTTTGTGAGGGTTCTCGTGTGGCCCTGTCAGGTGTTCTTACTACAAAGCTGAGCTGTGCTTCACCCTCTGAGCTGGATATGGGAACTATTGCTCAGGCCAGTGTTTGGACAATATGTCACAGGATGACTGTTTTGCATAAATCTGCTTCCTGGCAAAGGAACAACCTGTGTTTGAATACTTGGATACCCTACAGCTGAATACATGTTAGGCAGATTGTTTGTGTGGCAGAGTAGCTGCCTCTGAGTTTGCCAGCTTCTTTGATACAGATAAATTTTGTTCGCCTCTTCCCTCATCCCTGAGACCTGCTCAATAAAATTGATAGATTCTCAATGTGGAGGTGTTTTAGAGCTGTAGGACTGATTTAAAGGAAGTTTAACAACTACAGCTGTAGGAATGATTTAAACAAAAAGTAGTTACATTCTTGTGATTGAACGTTGCTGCATATTATTTAATTTTTATTTATAATTTCAGTCTGTTCTTGGGATTTAAATTTCAAATACTTGAATTTTGCGCTAAAGCTTTAAAATACCATTTATTGCAGTATCATGTAGGCTTCATGACCTTAAAAGAATTACTTTAAAGTGTAGAGACCAGTAATTTTCAAGCTGCAAAAGATTCTAAAACGGTAGTTGTTTGAGACCAAATTAGTATCTCAAATATTCCCAATGTTTAACTGAACAAAGTTCAGCTGTATTCCTGGTTTATATAAAAAACTGAGACGTGTTTCAAAGTGATGTTTTTTTCTGCTGTTGTGTGAAGCTAATCTTTCCTATAGTTCATTTAAAAAGATAATTCGCATTGCACAATCTCTATATAAATAAATGTACAGACAAATGTACCTTTCCAAACATCTTTGCACCTTAAATTTTGGTCAAGAATCAGATGCAAATATGCCTTTTGCATTATTTTTGCTTTATAACATCAAAAACTGGGGGGGGAGGCATTAGAATGTGTGAAACTACTGATGGGGGAGGGGGAACATTATTCTTGGAAAGGGTTGAATTTTCCCTCTAAATTTCTTTTTTGTGGCAGAACTGAGCAAACATTAATCTTTGAGGCTTGTCAGCAGTACTGCCTGTTAAAATCTCTAAAAATCTTGGGACATAAAAGGAAGGGGAAAAGTTCAAGAGTTTTGCTGTGGAAGCTTTTTTTTTTTATTAGGCAGAACTCATTTGAGCAAAGTATTGTTGGCAAACTCCTTGTCTGAACATTGCAGGAGTGAAGTTTTTATAAATATTCTTTTTTTATCAAGATTGCAATGATTTGGAGATCAAAACTCTCTTACAAAAACCACATTGAACTATTTGGGTCTATATACATAGTGTAACCACTAGTTCGTTTAGTTATTTTTATGTAGTACCTTAACATTTTAGAAACTTTTGCATGAGCTTTCAAAATGCTGCATGTGGAAAGCAAGGAGTCATTGTCTGGGCAAATATTTGGCTTTAGATATAAAGGAATATGTTACCATAGAATAGAATCATAGAAGAGCTGGGTCTCTTTAGCTTGGAGAAGAGGAGACTGAGGGGAGACCTCATTAATGTTTATAAATATATAAAGGGCAAATGTCAGGAGGACAGAGCCAGGCTCTTCTCAGTGATGCCTAATAATAGGACAAGGGGCAATGGGTGTCAGCTGGAACACAGGAGGTTCCACTTAAATTTGAGAAGAAACTTCTTTACAGTGAGGGTGACAGAGCACTGGACCAGGCTGCCCATGGAGGTTGTGGAGTCTCCTTCTCTGGAGACATTCAGAACCTGCCTGGACACCTTCCTGTGTGATCTCATTTAGGTTCCTGCTCCGGCAGGGGGATTGGACTGGATGATCTTTTGAGGTCCCTTCCAATCCCTGACATTCTGTGATTTGATGAATATCTCAAGTTGGAAGGGAGCCATAAGGATCATTGAGTCCAGCTCCCTGCTCCTTGCAGGACTACCTAAAAATAAACCATATAACTAAGAGCATCATCCAGATGCTCCTTGAACTCTGACAGTCTTGGTGCCATGACCACTTTCCTGGGGAACCTGTTCCAGTGACCGACCACCCTCTCAGTAAAGAACCTTTTCCTCATGTCCAATCTGAACTTCCCCTGATGCAGCTTAATTCCATTTCCTTGCATCCTGTCAATGCAGCTTCATTCCATTTTCTTGCATTGTGTCACTGATCCTCAGAGGAGATCAGCACCTCCCCCTCCGCTGCCCCCCTTGAGGAAGGCATAGACTGCGATGAGGTCACCCCTCAGCCTTCTTTTCTCCAAGCTGGAGAGCCAAATCCATTGTAGGTACATAAAGTTGGCTAATACAAGAGTGTGTTGTGCTTTTAGCAAACTGACGGTGCATATGTGTGTGTCTAGTCAGATATGGACCCTCATACGCCGGGCTCCAGCCACAGAGAGGCAGCATCTATTAGTGTGGGTGCATAGTGCTGTCAGTAAGCGACTTCTGGATCAGAACTGGTTTGGGTGTTTTTGAGTTTGCAAAACATTGAGTCTTACCAGCTTTGTGGTCCTCTGAAGAAAAGTCTCTGGTTTGAAAGTCTATGATGGTTTCCCTTTCATGCATAAATTAGTTCTTCCGTATTCTGATGCTGCAGTTGTTTCAAGGTTATGAAGAGGACGATAGGGACAGCAGTGAGAAATTATGACCTTAGTCTTGTTTCAAGATAAGTTGCACATTTTCCCATTGGAGTTTGGACTACTCATTCATCCTTTAAATAGGAAATGTGTTCCTTTAACATGGCTTTAAAATTTTGACGTTGCAAATATCATCTTTAAATGTATTTATATTGTTCTTGTAGAACTTTGTTCTGCTTATTTTTATTGCAGAAGAGGATTATACAACATTTTGAGTGCCATTATATTTCAGGTGTACGTGCAGATTAACAAAGCAGCAGAAGATGAGAACACAAAAAAGCTGGCTAAGGATTTCTTTAAAAAACTGGAGGAACATGATGAGCAGACATTGTCACTTTGGAAACAATTTAGAGACTTCAGTATTGAGGAATACATCCGAATTTATAAGGTACAAATCATCCACTGCTTTTTCTGTGTTGTTGGTAAAATGGTCTCTTTTTACCTGTTGCTCCATCAATCTAATTGACATTGCACAGCATCTTTTCATCCAAGAGACTGCCGAGCAGTGAACAGAGTAACAGAATTTGCTGTAATGTTGTCAATTCATTCCCTTTCCAGTATTTAGGAAAGATGTTTCTAAATATGCCAGGTTATGCCCCATTCTGTTTGGAAAAAGCACAGTAGTCAATTTAACATCCAAGCAGATGGTCACTTTAGTTGCTGACAGCGTAGATACATTTTGTTTAATGGAGTCCATGTAATTGACCCTTTGACTAATTCTCCCTCCTCAGAAGCCCTGAAGCGAGGAGTATGGTGCCAGGCAACAAAGCAAATCAGTGTTAGATAAATACTGTTACATTTTGCTTTATCTTTGAAGTCAGCAACAACCCACTAAATTTAACAGTTTCCACGTAATAAATTTTATTGGGAGATAACTCTGTTTTCACACTTCTGATCTAATGTTATAACGCAGAGCTGTGTATGTTGCATATTAAATTAAGTGTAAGTAGTTATAGCAGCAGGAGTTTACAATAGTAATCAGTGCAGAAGTTACTTGCAGGTTGAGTTGAGCTAATATACGGCCATCTGTTGCATACTGTAATCTCAAGAATGGAGCCAGTGTCCACTGTTCAGTGGGAGATGTTTGTGCCACTGACCACAAAATTAATCTTATGAATCTGGGAAACAGGAGCGAGACAGACCTTCTGTTACTGAATCCAGTCTCCTGGTATTAATACTCTGTAATCTTACTCAAGAGTCCATCTGAAAACCAGCTAGTTTTTCCTTTCCCGCATTCTTGCAGTGAAATTCTGGAATGAGTGCACAGTTTTGATGGGCTTAGACATTTTTTTCTAACTCGCAGTTCCAAAGAATTTGTGACTCATTTTATACCACTTCTTTCTTCTAATATTGTTCTTTACTTAAAATTGCACTTTTCCATCTCCTTCCTCTTGATGTATTTGTGGAAATTGGTCATGTCTTCCTTCATCCTTGATTGCAAAGTTAAAAGAGAAGTGGCCTGCTGCTTCCTCAACAATCCAGATAACCTAGCTGTGCTTTAATTTCTTCCCTGAAACATATCACTGGGTTCATGCTAAGTAAGTTAAGATCTCCGAGTGGACACAATGTGATAATTCTAGTGGAAAGCTGAGCTGTTAGGGTAAGTGGGTATTAGGCTGTGTATGCAGCTGCATCATCGTGGTCACTCATCATTGATCACACGATGACTGGTACAGCTAGATTTGCCTCTCCCAATTCCTTTTCAAACCAGTAAGTATTGAGCTGATGAACTGACAGCTTTGTTGCCCTCAGTTAAAAACCTTGTCTTTTGTACCATTACATTTTACCTGATTTTGGCAATTAAGGTCATCCTTTGTCTCCTAGATGTACCCTCAGCCTTCCTAGTAACCCTTCCTAGATTTCTGTGTGCTCAGCAGTGTTTCTGAGCACCTCCCACTTTTTTGTGTTTCTTTAAGCATCCTTTTCAAATTCGATTGCTTTGAAGTCCAGATAACTTCTCTGCAGTCCCTTGGTTTCGCCTCCAGCACAACAAGTTAGAGACGTGCCTCAGATTTTTTTCTACTAATTGCTCTCTCCAGTTTACTCCTCATTTCTCATTAACATATATTCAACACTGTATTAAACTTGGGGAGAGTAATTCCAGTGCAGAACTCGATTAAATCAAAATCCAAACATCTGTTCCTTTTAACAATGAAGTGACATTTCCTGGAATAGAATTAATCTTTGCACTCTATCTGACCTGTGACACAGACCTGTCATCTGACTTAATTTGAAGAGATGATTAGCCTCAATCTAACAATGTTTCCCTTCTTTGATATTCTTGGAACTTTTCAGCGTCTAGGAGTGCACTTTGATGAATATTCCGGAGAATCGTTTTACCAAGAGAAGTCCCAGGAAGTTCTAAAGATGTTGGAGGATAAAGGACTCCTTCAGAAAACAATGTATGAACTCATTATTCAGTCTATTGGTGTAGTTTACTTTACAACTGTTGCATTGCAAATGAAATATGATAAGTGAGGTGTGTACATCATCTAAAGGGAAGTGTTTACTTTAGATGGTTTTGGTAGATGTTCTAGTAGAAGGCCAACAGCATTTGTGCAACCACAGCTAAAAATTAAGTTTGCCTTTCTTTGTGGCTAGCACAAAAGCCTGGCTGTGACAAATTAGGTACAACGACAGTGTTCAACTTCTAACAGCCTTTTAGGCTGTTAATTAGTTTGGTAGCTGCATGTGCCATTTAATGAGCAGAGTTAGATGTGATCCTTGCCTTGATGTGCTGCCTGGCTGAACCAGGACAGAAACTGTAGTCATGGAATGCACCAGAGTGTGAGCAGGCAGCTCCCTGGCATCAGCAGTGTTGACAACAAACTTAGAGGAATCATCTTCAAAAAGACTTAAAGGATACAGGCACTCAAAAAAAAAAAAGAATGAGACAGTCTAGAGTGAGGGCTGTTCTATGGCGAGAGGCTTTCATTTTGATTCTGATCTCTGTGTTGCTGGACTTCACTGCATTTTGCAGTTACTGGCTTGCAATTACTTTAGTGTTTTCTCTCACCTTACAGAAAAGGGACAGGAATTGTGGATCTTTCAGAAAAGAAAGACCTCTCATCGTTTTCCACTGTCATGCGTAGTGATGGGACGTCGCTTTATATAACAAGGCAAGTAAGCCTGTCGGTGTTTCTTGCCATTTATTTTGACAGTAAACTTTTATACATGATTGCATTTGTAACTGATAGTACATATTTTGAAGCATTTTATTTCTGGGATGGAACACTTTGATGAATGAGTAATTGTAACTGTAACTAGCAATATAACTATAATGGGATTAAAATGGCTCAGGAAAAACAACTGTTTTAAAATACTTTTTCTTCTTTTAAGCAGCCTCTTTCCATAAATCTCAATACATTCTCCAGCTACTGACTTTGAAAACAAAGCTGAGATCTCTTAATCTAATAAATACTTGCCAAATAATGAAGGTTTTAGAAGGACTTTTGCTTATTGGCAGTGTGATGCATAAAAAAATGGTTCGTTCAGCCACGTCTTCGTTGACTCACTGGACCACCAGCACTGTACCATCAATTTCATCGTTGTTTTCCTGCCTTCTCATCAGTATCCTAAAATTCCTCTTGGGTATTTTAATATGGAACCCTTAACAGTTTCTTTGTACCAGTAATGTAAATAAATCAGATGTCTAGCCCTCAGGGTAAACTGTGTACAGCTTTTCAGGACAAGGGTATTAGAGAGGTGCTGCAGTCAATCTTGCACATAACGGAGCTGCTGAGTCCTGTAGCCAGATAGAGACAAGGCAGCCACAGCTCCATGCCCACAGGTCCAACCAGTAGTAAGGCTGAGCGCCCGTTCCCAGCAGGCACACAGATGCACACACCTGTATGCACACAGCCAACCAAACAGGGCAGCACAGCAAAAACACTCAGCACTCAGACAACACGAATGGCTTCATTTTCTTCCCCTCTGGCCGATTTGGGTGAAGGTCTGGTAGTGTGAAGCAGTATACATGTATGTCTGTGTGTATATATACACACACACACGTATGTATGTGATACATATTATCTACGTAAGTAACGTACATATGTATTATATGTATAGCCTATGTATACACAATGTGGATCTCTCCAGTAGCTGAGCTTCAACAAGGCCAAGTGCTGGGTCCTGCACTCGGGTCACAACAACCCCATGCAATGCTACAGGCTTGGGGAGGAGTGGCTGGAAAGCTGCCCGGTGGAAAAAGAACTGGGGGTGTTGGTCACAGCCAGCTGAACATGAAGCAGCAGTGTGCACAGGTGGCCAAGGTGGCCAACAGCATCCTGGCCTGTATCAGAAACAGTGTGGCCAGCAGGAGTAGGGAAGTGATTGTGCCCCTGTACTTGGCACTGGTGAGGCTGCACCTTGAGTACTGTGTTCAGTTTTGGGCCCCTCACTACAAGAAGGACATGGAGGTGCTGGAGCGTGTCCAGAGAAGGGCAACGAAGCTGGTGAAGGGTTTGGAGTACAGGTCTTGTGAGGAGCAGCTGAGGGAACTGGGGTTGTTTATCCTGGAGAAGTGGGGGCTGAGGGGCGACCTTATCACTGTCTACAGCTACCTGAAAGAGGTTGTAGTGAGGCAGGTGTGTGTCTTTTCTCCCAGGTAATTAGTGACAGAACAAGAGGTAATGGCCTTAAGTTGCACCAAGGGAGGTACAGACGGGATGTCAGGAAAGATTTCTTCACTGAGAGGGTTCTCAGGCACTGGAATGGGCTGCCTAGGGAGGTGGTAGAGTCACCATCCCTGGAGGTGTTTAAAAGATGGGTAAATGGGGTGCTCAGAGATATGGTTTAGTAGTGGACAGGTACGGTTGGACTCGATGATCTCAAAGGTCTTTTCCAACCAAACAGTTCTATGATTCTATAAGTTGTTTCTCTATACTACTTTGTGTGTGTGAGGATTTTTATCATATAATCTAACACTGGGCACTGGGTTAGTTTTCCAGGAGAGAGTTGTTTCTCTTAAGTCTCAGCTGATTGATTGTCCCAGTAGGCAGACAGTTCATCTGTGCATAAGAACTGATTCCTCAGTAATTTTCATAGCTGGTGGTTTAAAAAAGACATTTCAAATATGTCATGAACAAAGTACACGTTGTCTTTTTTGTGTGAGGCATGCTTGGATTCCTCTAATCTGACAGTCTTCTTCCCTCCATAAGAGTAGATTATTTTCCCAAGAGGCAAGTAAATGAGGTATGTTTGAGTGAAAGTCCAAATAGTTTCTCGTTATCCTTTTCAGAGATCTTGCTGCTGCTATAGACCGAATGAATAAGCATAGCTGGGATACTATGATTTATGTGGTAAGTAATTCTAGATTCACCAAACACTGTTGAGCCTGACTCTCACCAGTAATCCAGGGGGCCTCTTTTTCCCAATATGATTTTGGCACGTGGTATTCTTGGCAGTAATAGATGTCCTTACTGCTCATCAACTGTGCCTCAACGTGGCAGAGTTTCTTGGTTTTGTTTCGGTTCATGACCCTCAGAAGAGTTGAAAAATCACCTCTGGAGTTACTATCTGTTTTAAAAATTCATTGTGATTCATTGTAAATGAACTTTTACTCGATTGACATTGTATTTTCTTTATAAATGTTGTAATTAATATTTAAACAAGTCAGAATAAGCTGTCAGTGTTATAAGGGGTTGTAAAATGTTAATTTAGAAATTAATGTTCTAAAATGAATCTTAAGTCTACTCTAAAGTTCTGATATTTTATCTGAAATGTAAGTTTTTATGGCTTTGAACGGTGCCTCAGTTTCATTATGTAGAAACTGCACATAAAGTACAGGGAATCTTTTTATCTTTCTTGGTTTGATTAATTTGCTCTTTAACAATTCCAGCAGTATCAGTAATGAATAGCAGGATCATCTCCTCACTTGTGTGAAACTTCTTGTGCTTTAGTATTACCAAGGACATATCATAGAATTGTAGAATCACAGAATAGTTTGGGTCGGAAGGGACCTTTAAAGGTCATCTAGTCCAACCCCTCTGCAGTGAGCAGGGACATCTTCAACTAGACCAGGTTGCTCAGAGCCCCGTCCAACCTGACCTTGAATGTTTCCAGGGATGGGGCTTCTACCACCTCTCTGGGCAACCTGTGTTAGTGTTTCACCACCCTCACTGTAAAAAATTTGTTCCTTACATATAGTCTCAATCTACCCTCTTTTAGTTTAAAACCCTTGTCTTATTGCTAAAGTCCCTGCTAAAAATTAAGTTTGTCCCCATCTTTCTTATAGGCTGCCCTTTAGTATTGAAAGGCTGCAATAAGGGCTCTCAGAGCCTTCTCTTCTCCAGGCTAAACAGCCCCAACTCTGTCAGCCATTCCTCACAGGTGAGGTGTTCCATCCTTCTGATAATTTTTGTGTCCTTCTTCTGGACCTGCTCCAACAGGTCTATGTCTTTCTTGTGCTGAGGAAAATGCACTTTCCCTGACCGGGAATCGAACCCGGGCCGCGGCGGTGAGAGCGCCGAATCCTAACCACTAGACCACCAGGGAAACATATCACCTAATCCTTTCACATTTTATTTTTCCCAGATTTAGGAAAAAAAAAAATTGAAAAGCATGTTTTATTATGTGTAGTCAATTAATGACCTGTGGAAAAAATCTGCGGGTTTCTGGCATATTCTTTGTGATGTGTTTGGTAATGCCCATAAATCTTCTCTGGTGGAACTCTTTCAAAAACCAATATAATATTACAAATACCATGATTCTGGGGATGGGGAAGGATCAGTAAGCAAAAAATTAATTACCCAGGTAGTTTAAAGTGTGACTTTTAGTTATGTCACATTCCTCCTTTTATTTTCAGTCTTCAGGAAGTTTCCACTAACTTGTCATTCCCACAGGTGGCCATAGAACAGGGTCTTTTTGTTGTGTATTTTTGGGGGGAGAGGTTACCTTTACTGACTGGAACTTAGTAGATTGACTGGCATCAAAGAGCAGTGCGTGAAAGTTCAAGGTATGAGGAGGTAAGGAAGCTCCCTCTCTAGTTCGTGTAGGTAGGAAATTATTTGTGGTTTTTATACCATGAGGTACTAGGGACCAAGGAACAAAAGAAGGTAGTTGGGTGGGTATTTTGCACAAATTAGCATGGGGGCTGAGTGTTGAGCTAATGGAGCGAGCAGAAGCAATAGTCTTTTGAGTTGACTGGCTGCTCGTAGCTGAACTCCCATAACTGTCACTTCCGTGCCTGGGCCTCTTTGATCCACTCCTGGTCCAAACTGATGCGCAGCAAAACTGGAGTGTGGTGTGATCGATGTGACTGTTATAACCAATGTCACATTCAAGTTGGAGATGACAGATTAGCCTGTCTAGTCCTGTTCTCTGAACCTGGCTAAGGTTGCATAGTTTTTGGATGACGTGGTTAATTTTTCTATAGTTTCTGATTTTCTGAGGGCTGAGAAAGTGGGTCATAAAATGAGAGGACGATAACAGAAATTGTTAAGAGAGTTTGTGGGACAGATAGCCTGAGGAAGGGACTGCTAGCCTTGCTGGGGTCTGCTGCTGTTTTGTGGCAGTGCTTTGTAGTGGGTTAGGTCTTTCCTCAGTGTTACCAGGGGCAGGAAGACTTCATGTGTTTAAGCGAGAACACAGATGATTTTAGTCTTTAATTATTAAATACAAATGTATTTCAGAATCCTGATCTTGTTACAAGAAAATTATTTAGAGGCTCTTATTTCATAAGATAATCTTATTTTCATCAGATCAACATGTTTAAAAGAACATTAAATTGGTTTGTTAGTTGTAATGCTGTAAATCAGTGCACTCACCAATTTGTATTTGTATGTAAAAAATCCTACTTATGTCATAAAAATGCAGTGATATGAGCAAAATATTGAAAACATTTTAAAATCTGTGACATGTATTACTAAAGGGATGCTAAGATTCCATTGAATGTTGCATTGAAAAGAGAAGATGAAAACACTTTTATATAAGAAGAATTAAATATAATCCACACTTTTAGACTGTATTCCCTTAAAGCAAACCACTTAGACTGCATTTAGACATGTGTAATTTGGGGGCCTGTCAGGAAAAAAATTGCCATTCTTTGTAATACAAATTTTCTTTTTGAGCATTTGTGTTATTTTTGCCATGCTGTAAAAAAAAAAAGTGGTTTTATGAAATGGTAGTGTCTGCAGGTCCATCTTTTTTAACATAATTACACATCCATGTTTTGAGTATTACTTTTAGGCAGAGATTAAGTTGTGTGGTACTCCTTGTATTTAATTCCATCCTTAACAAATTGATTTTCATGCAGTTTTAATTATGTGGATTGTTCAAGCATAATAAACACTCATTGTTATGCTTCTTGCAGTATCACACAGCATCCCAAAAACACAGGAGTTGATACTTACTTTCCAGGTGGACAGCTGGAACCTGGTATTCAGTTTGTACTGCCTGATAGGTATTTTTATCTTGGCCTCTCTTTTCATGTTCTTATAACCATGGGAGTTTAAAGAATTATTTTAAAAAGCTATTAGATTATTATATTATTTTCTGTTAATGATTTCAAAATATTCTTTTGTATGCTATTTCTATATACATTGGTCAAGACAAATAATTACAAATTTAAGTTGGCTTTTAGCTTAGTCTTACCTGAAAATCCCAGGTTGGATGAGGCTTTGAGCAACCTGATCTAGTGGAAGGTGTCCCTGCTGATGGCAGGGGGATTGGAACTAGATGGTCTTTAAGGTCCCTTCCAACCCAAACCATTCTATGATTCTCTGTTTCTATGAAAATTCTGCTCTGTGAACAGTCGTGAAGAAGCAATTAAGTTCAGACGGACTGAAGTCTTTTGTTGGTGGGTGTTGTAATGATTTGTCACAATTTCTACTCACAAAAGACTGCAGTCCTCCAAAGAGGCTTTCAAATGCTGTGATCGTGGTCCAAGTGGTGAGGGACATGATGTTGTGCACACAAACCAAAACCAGTTTCTGCCATGTACAATGTACAATCTCTTGTAAAATGGAATAGAGATGAATTCAGACCTAGAAAGAAGCAGAGGAAACAGTGAGGCAGCAATGACCAGTACAGTGAGCTGGCCTTAATCTAAACTTTAGAAAATTTTTTGTGATATCCTTTAATGAGAGAGATGTGGCTTTGTTACAGGTACAGAGAGCTTCTCTTACATGTGAGGTGCATGGAAAAGAGCTTGGAAGGCCTTGTTTGAAATGCTGATCACCGTTGTCCATTTATCAGCCTTGCTTTGTGAATCAGCACAGAGAGAGGTGATGCGTAGGAGCAGAGCAGGTTATGAGGATCTGTGAAAGAGGAGGCAGGTGTTTGAGGCTTAGTACAATGGCAGCGTTGAGAAAAAACCCAGATAAGCACTTCACTCACTGCTCACTCCCTGTCTTGGAATAGGAAACAAATAAGGAAACAGTGGTTATTTGGTTATCACTGCAGTGATTTTTAAGGAGGGGTGAAGAAGTCTTTGAGTGATATAGTCAAAGCAACTAGGTAGGAAAGAGAACTTTGTAGCAACAGCTGTAGCTAGAAACACAAAGATCATTGTTAGACGTAAAGAAACTTCCATCAGAAACTGCCTTGAGTTAAAGCAGAGAGTAACTGGAAGTGGAAGGGAGCACAAGGTGCATCATTAATATGAAAATGTGATCATTCATGCTTTTTTTTTTTAAAAAAAAAGCACCTGACTTACTTACGGTGTAAAACTCCACAAATCATGCTGGAGACAAAAGAAACTAGTGGGTCCTGGAGACAGAGAGCTTTAAGAGGTGTTCTGTTTCTTTGCCAAAGTAACCTTAAAGTTTGGTGGTGTAAAACACAGGAATATAACAAGAGCAGCAAGGTTCTGGAATGAAAACAGAGGCATTTTGTTTGATGAGCAACTCACAGATCACATGAAACTAAAGAACATCTAGGTTTCGTTTCAGTTCATGGCTTTGCCTTCATGACCTAGGAATAATCATTTTTTAAAAGGTAGGTTACTTTTCTTGACAAGATGCAAAATCCCGTTGCCATAGACTGCAGCTGTTACGTTTTTCAAGTCTGACTTGTCTTCATAGGTCTTAATTCTGCTTGCAGTGACTTACTGCCACAGGATCTGTGGTGTTGTGTGTTTGTGTGTTAAAAGCTAATCCTTATCAGACTTGCAGTGTTTTCTAATATGCACCAATTCTATTCCTTAGACAGATAAAAGTCAAAGTAATCACTTTCAACATTTGTTCCAAATACTGAAGCTCATGGGTTATGACTGGGCAGAAAGGTATGTATTTATGAATCTTAATTATATACCTTTTTTTTCTGTTTTTTAAAGAGTGAGTAATATGTACACTGGAATTTCAGTGAAGTGCTCTTTTGGAGGTAACTTCCTGACTGTGCCCACCCACCACCATGCTGTAGCACATCATGTAGGCGTTTTGGATGAAACTAAGCTACAAAATGTGCTGCTAGCATGTGACTGATGAACTCCAGAGTGCAGGCAGCCGTTTGGCCTGTAGGACCCAACTAGTGCTAGTCCAATAAGGAAGAAAAAATAAGAAAAAACCATCAGAATTGTGTGCAATATGGGCCTCAGGTCCTCAGCAACAACCTTTTCACTCTATATTTCCACTCCTGCTGGTCTGCTTTATTTGTGAAGGGGGACACTGCCATGTGTTCAGGACGTGAAAGCCAGCCCTGCCTCTCATTTAACGGGTCTTTCATAACTGCTTGATGTAAAAATGGGAAAAAGGGAAACAGTCTTTCAGAGACTTTATGGCATAGCTTCTGGGATATTGTATTAAACAATTACTTCTTGAAGTATGATATTTTAACAGAGATCTGAGTCTGAATCATGCTTCAGGCTTGAAATATCTATTGCAGGGAGATGTATCCCCACTGTTATTCATTGTAATTACCAAGCTTGTTAGCAGTCTGAGCGAAGGTCAATATTGGATCTGCAGACTAAATCCTATTCCTCTCTGACAGAATGTGTCTTTTGTGGTTAAATATAGGATTTTAGCCTTCAGGAATATTAGCCTGCCTCCTTTCACAGTACTTAAAGTTGCACTAAAATTACCTCAAGTTATGGATCCAGAATAATGCTTGGGATTATTGTGAGCAGAAGCAATGAATGTTTTATTCTTAGTAATGATTAATCACACTTTTAGTTTAATGTGGCCACAATAGAATTATTATGACTCCCTTTCTAATGTTATTAACAGCTCTGTGTTGCCACAGTAATTTGATCTGTCTACATCCTGCCTCTCCTCAATTTATTGCAATTTATTGCATTGAGTTCTCTGTACTAAAGCTAGTAGCAAGAGAGGTTCCCAAGAGCATGCAAATGACCAGGTTATCATAATTCTGATCATAATTTTCCCATTATATAATAAGTATGGAGCTGTGGTTGCTGAAATGAGAGTTACGGATTATATCACCAAGCTTCCCACGTTGGAGCGCTATTTATTCAGCTGTTATTGCTGTTTCCTGGTAAGACTCCAGCTCTGAACAAACACTGCAAACATTTCTCTTGATTAAACTGTAATTTTAGGTCCTGCTGCTTTTCAACACAGGTGCCAGCATGTGTCTTTTGGTCTAGTTCAAGGGATGAAGACTCGGAGAGGAGAAGTGATTTTCCTGGAAGATGTTTTAAATGAAGTTCGCTCGAGGATGTTACAAAACATGGCTTCCACAAAAAGTTAGCTATTTCAGGTCTTACTAATTTCTTTTGATGTTCTGTGTTGATCAAAACCATGTTGTCTTTTCTACCCTTCACTGTTCCCTGCACCAGACTAACCAGTGATATGCCCTCATCTGTGCTCTTTTTGTACTTCCCATAGTATAAACACTGTTAAAATAATCCTTTGCAACTCTGTGAACTTCCCTAAATTACAGATTTGCAAATTTTAACATTCACTGAAATTTCATCATACTTTTGCACTGGGAAGGAAATACCTGCCTCTGGGGGACAGCAGTTGCTTTTTTCTGGAAGGACAAGCTAGTCAATAGTGGGGTTGGAGGTGGAGTTCAGGGAACAGTCTGATTTCATCCAAAGGATTTGTAGCTTGTAGCCAGTTTTCCCTGGCAAGATTGACTGTAGCTTGTCTGCTATTGTCATCCTCCCACCCTCATGACCGTTTTGGGAGCCCCCAGGAGGCCACTGCTCTGCAGCAGAATCTGCTGCAGGGGATGTTCTCCTACACCTCTGGCTGTGGCTCTAGAGCTTTTCCCTCTTGACGCAGTAAAGATTCAAGCAGTTCCCTGTGCGATGCTGCCCCCTCTTGTGCTTTCTGGAGTTAGGTGCTGAATTAAATCAAATGAACTGATCAAGTTAAGGAGTGTGTATCTTCCCTGCTCTGCCTCCTCAGCTTTTTTAATCCAGATAATTTTGCCTGTAGAGTGGACAAGGAGAAGGAGGGAAGGCAGAATCATAGAAGGGTAACCCTCAATTCAAACCAGCTTTACTGCAGAGAGGAATGGAGCTTAGAGCTTCAGTTTAAATGTTGGTATCATAGCTGAGTGCAGAGCAAACTTATTTTTATGCTGGACTGAATGACATGGCAGAGGTGCAGATCCATGTCCCATTGCACAAGCGGTAGGCAGAAGAACAGCTAAAAGAAGTAATGTGTCCAGGTGGCACCGCAGCTTTCCCTGGAGCTTATCCCTTAGATCCTAAATCCTACCTGTGCTTGGAGAAGTTTTCCCCCTTATGTTTGAATTCATGCCTTACTTCCCCTTTCTTAAATTAGAAATCTTGAATCCCTGACTAATAGCAATGTCTTCAGTGTTTGAAAAGTGTTTGGATACGCACTGGAAGATACTACAAACTTGTGTGTGGCATCAAAATGCCTCACTGTCATTGAAAAGACTTTGGGAGCATCTAACAGCCAATGGTAACTTTAAAAACCACGCCTGTGTGGAGCTGGAGCTGGTTAGTTAAATACCTTTGTATAAACTCTTGCTTTGCTATTAAGTGTACACAGTTGTGCAATTTGAGCTTCCATTATTGGCATCCTTTTTCTTTCTGCTCATCTCAGTGAATCCCACAGTCCGCATAAATCCTCTCTATACTGCCTATTATTTCCTTTGCAGCTTTACTTTCTCTTAGATAGCTTTGTCTGTGTCTCATCAAGCACCAAAACAAAAGCCTGAATTCTGAGACAGTTCTTCTGTTTTGAAACAGATCTCAGTTATGAAATGTAAAAATGTAATCTGAACATCTTTGTCTTGTGAATAAACAGCCAGTCTGACACTTCTCAGGGCTATGAACTATCCCCACACTTTTCAAGCTTAGTCCTTTCTGAATGTTGTAAATAGCAAAGGAGTGAGTAGTATGAACTACTCAAAGTTGTCTCAGTTGGCTTTGCCAACCTGGCACAAATAAATAGCAAAGCAAAAGACAGAAATCTACATGTACCAAAACTGTACTGCAAAACTGTTTCACCTTAAGTGGTGCCTTAATAGAACAGCTCAATGCTCCATATTCTGCTGTTAGTGGGAAATCAGCTGGGACGGGAAATAGTAAACCAAACTCTGAAAATTTAATAGATTACATATAGCACAATAAAAAAAATACACTTGGCCCTTGCTGAAGTGCAACAGATTTGCCTTGTAAAAGACTATGATAAGATTCTTCCCTTTTTCTCCAGCAGAGACAAACAGGAAGAGGAGACTCTGGTAGAGCACACTGTGGTCTGAGTTTAAAAATAGACAACATTGTCTATGTCTAAAGCATCACCTTTTCACTGGGCAAAGTTATGGGTCCAAAGACAAGTAATTGATTTTCCAGAAGATCCAGCATCTAAAGTGCTGTTATGTAGGCAAGTTTACTGTACTTCTGATGAACTGGAGCACCAGCTTGGCCCTGTGAACTTCCCTGTGAGACAGGGAATGAAACAGGCCCTTCAGTGATTTCTGTACCCAACAGCATGCTGTGCTTATCTGCTGATCACTTGAGTTGTGAAAAAGCTGGCAATAGCTTTGCAGATACATCTCTGCAGCTGTTGTGAGGACATTCTGTCTTAGACTCTTCCAGATTAATTAGGTTTTGTAATGATAGACTTAAGTTCTGTCTATTTAGTTAGAGGAGCTTTGGAAAGGACTTTGCCCTTGGTGAAGCCATGTTGGCTGTCTCGAATCAGCTCTTTGTCTTCCATGTACCTTAGTGGAGCTTCTAGGAGGATCTGTTCCATGATCTTAGGCACAGAGGTGAGGCAGACAGGTCAGCAGTTTCCAGGGTCTTCCTTTCTATCCTTTCTAAAAATGGGTGCAATGTTCCTGTTTTTCCAGTCACTAGGGACTTCACCTGACTGCCAAGACTTTTCCAACATCATGGAGAGTGGCTTGGCAACTATATCAGCCAATGCATCTTGTCAGGTCCCATAAACTTAAGTACATTCAAGTTCCTCAGGTGGTCACAAAACTGATCTTCTCTTACAGTGGGAGCATTTTGCTTTCCCAGTCCCTGCCCAGCAGTCTATATACATTTGAGAGGTGTGGGAAGAGAAATTGCCAGAGAAGACTGAGGCAAAAAAGTCATTGAGTACCTCAGCCTTCTCCTCATCCATTGTTACCAGTTTGCCAGTGTGTTCATCTTGGGGGGAGAAAAGCTTTCCTTGACCTTTTTCTGGCTGACATACCTGTAGAAGCCTTTCTTGTTACTCTTTGCATCCTCTGCCAAATTCAGCTCCAGCTGTGCCTTGGTCTTCTTCACTCCATCCCTACACAACTGGGGAGCGTCCCTGTACTCTTCCCAGGATACCTGTCCCTGCTTCACTGCCTGTGCATTTCCTTCTTGCCCTTTAGGTCTCAGTCAGTCATGCCGGTCTCTTGCCTTTCTTGCCTCATTTCTAGCACCTTGGGATGGAGAGCTCTTGAGCTCTGTGGTAAGTGGCCTTAAAGATCTGCCAGCTCTACTCTGCTCCCTTGTCCCTGAGGGCAGTTTCCCAGGGGGTCCTATTGACAAACTCCTTGAAGAGCTGCACGTTTGCTTTCCTGACATTCAGGGTCCTGACTTTACTCTCTGCCAGGCTGAACAACCCCAGCTCTTTACTACTCAGTGTAGTCTATCTAACCTGTTGTAATGAATTCTCCAGCTCTGAAGAGAAGGACT